AGTTTCTTTCTGTGTCTTACCCTCTTGCTTGAGGGTGTCAATGATAGTTTTCTGGACAGCAGTTAGGGCAGCAGTCTTACCCATGATTGTGGCTTTGAGTAATGAACAAGGCTGGGAGTTTTTAAAAGCCTCAGGAATCTTTTGCAGGTGTTTAGAGTTACGTTGTTGATTCAGATGGTTAGGTTAATATCTTGTTTAAAGAACCTTTTAATGAAATGCTAATTTTTTGGGACAGGCATTTTGGGTTTTCATGAGCTGTATGCCATAATCATCAGTATTAAAACAATTAAAGACCTGAAATATTTCAGTTCGTGTGCAATGAATCTGAAATATATGAAAGTTTCATTTTTCTTATTACATTATGGAAAATAATGACCTTTAGTACAATATGCTAATTTTTTGAGAAGGACCTGTAGGTCATAATTGGTCTTTTAATCCCTTGAACGTGCACATTCGTGCACTAATTCTACATATGTTGTTTTTGAGATCAAGACGAATCCGTCGGTGTTCGTTTAATCTTTCTACATGCCTCGGAAGCCGAGATCTGACCTTAAACTCGCCCTTTGATCTTATTACAGTGTAGGCCTCATTAGGATGGTGGGGGCTGCTCAGACCCGCACATCCTGTCATATGAGAATCAGGTTCAGTCATGCTAAACGTAAGGGTGACTGAGTAAGGCACTCTTTTTTGTTGTGTGTTACGTAGGAAGCGGGTACACAGATGAGGGAGGGCACGTTGGATTCGTATCACCTAGGTCTTTACAACTGTACCAGGCTCACCCCGATCCGATCTTACGATGCCAAGCTACAAACAGAAACGCACCCGTCAATCCATCCATCCATCCGAGAGATCAATTTTTTTTTTATATAATTTCTTTCAGGAAAAAGCCAACCACTTCAAACTTGGTGCAGGTGTAAAGCGTCTTTTGAGTAGTATTGCTGCCTTGTCAGCACCGGGTTTTGTCTTTTTGTAAATTAAACACTTTTTGACTTCAGTGCAGTTCTGTTTACATTTGGGTCTCAACCATAACCCGATCGTGACAACTTGAATGAAAATAAGCTGAGATCGTCACAATATATTAAACATGTAATCGTAACATGTTATACATGTTATCAGAAATATGCAAAAAACGTTTGTATTTGTGTTTCTAAGTCTAAGTTTCTGTCTTGTTCTGGAAACAATGAGTTATAAAATGTTTTGTAGAAAGTTTTGAACAAGTTGTTTAATTTAAATTTCCTCAAGTCTCATTGATAAATTGCTGGTTTTTAATTTATCTTTATTTTAAAAGTTATGATTTTTTTAAGGATATTGGAGGCCTGATGGAAATTGTTTAAGGGCCACTTTTGGCCCCCGGGCCTCAAGTTGCCCATGTCTGTGCCTGAGTAACCGCTTGTTAAGTAGCACATTCCGTAGTTTAGCCCATTCCAGTGGTAAATGGGCTGTGCTTATAAAGTGCCTTTCTATCTTATCAAGATACTTAATGTGATTTACAACACAATCCCACTTCATTTACCCATTCATACAGCACTCTACTATATCTGTACAAATAATAATCAATGCTTTGTCACAGTCATACACCGATGGGAACACATCAAAGACAATGCTGGGTTCAGTGTTTGCCCAGGGACACTTCAGCATGCAACTGCTGGTGGAATCAAACCCCCAAATCTTGCATTGTAGGACAGCTGTTCTAACCACTCAGCCACAGCCATCCCTCATTTAGACAAATCCATTAAACCTCCAGCTCTCTGATCCATACAGAACATAACAAAATCAACACATGCCTGAAAAAAATCCCAAATCAAAACCACATCCAAAAGCAGGAGGAAACCACCAGCAGCAGATGACCTCTATGTGTACAAAGCCCTGCATGAAATCATGTGACGTTCATATATAATTTAGTGGCGTCTTGAGAAGGTTAGCTACAAGACAAGGGACAACTATAAGCTGCTGCGTTCATGCTCCAAAATCTTATAACACAATGGAAACTTTGGTAAAACTTCACTACTGAAGAATCATACTAGAGATGCTGAACACATCAGGAGGAAACATACTTTTATCTACAGACACCTGTAAATATGTCAGACAATAAAATATCTATCCAGCATGCATGCATGCATGAGCATGCATCAGGATATATCTACCCAGTGTTTCCCCTACCATTATACAAGCGGGGAGTCTTCCCCGTTAACAGAACCGACCGCACCGCCTACCAAACCAAACTGTGAGCACCCCCACGCCCACCTGTCGGCACCACTATGGGGGAATTTCGCTGACATAAGTTGACTTATGTCAAGGAAATTCCCCCATACACCACTGGTGTAACGCAATACATGCAAGCTAGCTAAAAAGTTAAAGGTAGCGCTCACGCTACCTCTTCCTTCACACTGACAGCCCACCACCTCCTGCTCGAAAACTGCTAGTGCAAACAGAACACAGCTCATGTGTCTCTGCCCCCTCCCTCCTGGTAAAAAATAAATTAAAAAAAATCACGGACGAAATGAGTGCCTCACCATGGCAAGTTATCTAGGGGAAACACTGCTACCTGTATACGTACACTCCTGTATTTTGATATTTTTACTTTTAAGTTTTGTTAAGTTTTGGCAGTGACAAAAGTTGTGTTGTGGCTTCAACATGCAAAGATTTTTGTTTTTAACTTATTCAACTCATTGTAGGCAGCACAGTGGCACAGTTGGTAGAGCTGTTGCCTCTCAGTGAGAAAGTCAGCAGTTCACATCCCAGCCCAGGGTCTTTCTGAGTGGAGTTTGCATGTTCTCTTCATGCTGCATGTGTTTTCAGGTACTTCGGTTTCCTCCCACAGATCAAAAACATGTATTTGTAACTCTAAGTTGTCCCTAGGTGTGAGTGAGAGTGTGAATGGTTGCTTGTCTTGTTTGTCTCTATGTCTCCCTGTCATGGACTGGAGACCTGTGGTGTCCCCCGCCTCTTGCACAGTGAAAGCTAGATATGGGCACCAGTGATCCCCGTGACCCAAAATGGAAGAAGCGGGTAAAAGATAATGGATGGTGGAAAAATAAATGTGTATCAGATATCTGCAATAATCTGAACTGTCTTAATCTTCATCATGGGGCGGCTGTGGCTGAGTGGTTAGAGCAGTCGTTCTCCAATGCAAGAGTTGGGAGTTCGAATCCACCAGCAGTCACATGCCCAAGTGTCCCTGGGCAAGACACTGAACCCCTCATTGCCTCTGATGTGTGTCCCATTAGTGTATGAATGAGATCTAAAGCACTGATTAGTCTCTTTAGAATGATTTGTTCAATTAGCTTTGTAGAGATCTAGTAGAGTGCTGTATGAATGGGTAAACGAGGCACAAATTGTATTGTAAAGCTCTGAGTATCTTGAAATAAGATAGAAAGGTGCTATACAAGTACAGTCCATTTACCATTTATGATAAAATTTAACGTTTTCAGAACATTTAAGTCCTCAAATTAGTGTCTCAGTCTTTATATGGGTCAGAAATTTATTCCAAAAAGCCAGATATCTAATTTAAGGCCCAAAGTTCCAACAGCTGAGGACGGAGGATTCAAACGTGCAGGAACATGACAGAAGAAAAGTCTGTTTCAGTGAGGGACAATCCTTTTGTGTCTCAATTTAGGTGTGTTCAAACAGCCCAAACCTGCTGAACCGTTTCTCACACACCTCTACAGGCTGACACTTAACTACCTGCTGAAAATAAATGGACAGGGTGGAACAGGAACTGATTTGTAGAGAAATTAACTGCAGAGGAACAGCTTTTCTTAATGACCACGATCCAAACACAAACGTTGTTTTGATCAAATATGTCTGAACATCTAATGGAGGAAGCTGGAATCAAACTGCCAACCCTCTGCCTGACAGTCACCTGCTCTCCCTCCTTAAAGGCAGCCATCCCGGTACAGCTCAGTGTCAGGTCCGTCATTTGTGTGTTACCTCAGACATGGTGGTGCAGAGCGTAGCAAACTGCTGGGAGGTGTTCTGCCTCAGGTCTGGCCCGGCCCAGGCCTGCTTCAGTCTCTCTCTCTCCAAGGTCAGTACCTCATGAATGGACTTCAGGGATGTGTGAACTGCAACATGCAGAACATTTAAACCACACCCTGCAACATTTAAATTACATCTGGCTTTTAGTCTGTAGATTTTGTATAAGTGTATAAAGTGTATAAATGATGCCCAACATTCCAATAATCTGATCTACTGGCCTACTGGAACTCAAAGTGTATGTTGGATGAGACTGAGCTACTACAACACCTGCTTTTAGCTCAGTATCTGTAAAACTCAGTTTACACAGTTTGTGTTGGCTAAAGTTGATGAGCTGTGGTGACCATTTTAAACTAGAATAAGTTGTAGATGCTCATCCAATAATTACTTTGAGAGTTTCATTCCAATCTGTCCTCTAGTTCATGAGATGTTTTGCCAACAGAAAAGCACAGAACCTCAATCATCCAGGTAAATAAATCACAAAAAGGTTAAATCGGGTCATCTGGACAGTTATTTTTTGGAAGAAACGTTTCGTTTTTCATCTGAAAGACAATCAGTCTGAGGTCTGCCACCAAGAACTGTCTTATAAATAGCACCTTATTGATGTGTTTCAAGCTAGCCCTCTGTTGAATTCCCAGAAACTAACTTTACACATGCAAAACAGGGATGATCCATCTAAAACAATCGATATTCAATGCATAATAGTCAAATGTTTTAGGCCTGATTGTTAACTTGCAGTAACAGCCTGAGGACCTTCCATCTTTGACCTTCCAACTTTTGCAGAAGGCATTAAACAGTCAACTTTAATTTTTAATCCAAAAATGTTGAAATTAGAACATTTTATTGGATTGATAGATGAATGTGAGCTGAGATTAGTCTGCTGAAAGTATGCTCAGTCTAACACATCTTCAGTTTGTCTCATAAGCTGACCATGCATGGCACCTTTGGTAAATGTAGTTGGATCTCTACACACCACACAGTGAGTTAAAGAAACACTGGTGGATGTTTTCAGCAGAAGGAGAATGAAGAGATGTGGGTAAGAAACAGTCCCAGAGCACTTAACCTGCCTTCGGTAAGAACATGGAAACCTCTGACATTCACCTGGTGTTACACCAACATGAAAATCAAACATAGAAAGGCTTACCCCTCTGAGACAGACTGCAGATGTCCTGGTGGAGCTTCTTGGTCTCGGGTGAGGTGGCCTGAGGGTTGGAAAGCTGTGAGTAGACATAGTCTGGTATGGACTGAACCGATGTGGTCAAATTGTTGGTGCTCATGTGGCTTGAAGTGAACTAAAGACAAAAAGAGGAAAAGGAAACTTTAAATATTTCTAATCTAACTGGGACTAATCTGTATAAATAAAGGTCGAATGAATTTCGTACAACAGGAGAGGGTATAAAGGAAACCTTTCAGGAGCAGAAAAAGCTCCACCACCACAAGGTGTGAACACTTCCCACAAGAAACGAGACCAAAATTCATCCTCTGAACTACAAACAAACAAAAATTAACAAAGTTAAGCCAGGTCCTCTGGACAGAATAATGAAAAAAAATAATAAAAACTTGAAATGTTTTGTCTTTTATCCAAAAGACTTCTTCAGTCTGGGAAGGTGCAATACAGTCAGTTTTATGAATAGCACCTTCTCAGTAAATCAACCAGTTTGTTGTTGGCATCAAGAACTAGCTGTTCACATGATAAGGGAGGACCATCAGCCTAACAACTGATCGTTAGTGGCCTGATGGCCACTTGCTATTCACAGGGAGCCGAGTGATACTAGAAACAACAGCATTGTAAGAGGGGGACAGTTGAACCGGAGGCCTCCACCCCTGTTTAATGATGGACGATTTATTTTCACAAGGATGGCCTCCTTTACTCCTCTCTCAAACCATCGTTCTTCTCTGTCCAGGATGTGAACATCTTCATCCCTGAAAGAGTGACCCATGGCCTTGAGATGAGTGTAGACCCAGAGTCCTGGCCTGATGATGTTGCTCTTCTGTGCTGGGCCATCCTTTGGGCCAGGGGCTGTTTAGTTTCTCTGATAAGATATAACTTTATTGGTCCTGCAGGAAATTGTTGTGCCACAGTTTAAATACGAAGGAACATACATAAGGAATCACACAAGATATAAAAAAAACAAAACAAAAAAAAAACAGAATATTAAAACAAAAGAGTATAAAAATAACAGAATATAAAAATAGAAAATAAAAATATCAGGGCAGCACGGTGGCGCAACTGGTAGAGCTGCTGCCTCTCAGCGTGCAGGTCCCCGGTTCAAATCCCAGTCTTGGGGCCTTTCTGCGTGGAGTTTGCATGTTCTCTCCGTGCATGCGTGGGTTTTCTCCGGGTGCTCCGCTTTCCTCCCACAGACCAAAAACATGCATGTTAGGCTGATTGGTAACTCTAAAATTGTCCCTAGGTGTGAATGAGAGAGTGAATGGTTGTTGGTGTCGTTTGTCTCTATGTGTCCCTGTGATGGACTTGCGACCCGTCCAGGGTGTACCCCGCCCCTCGCACAGTGATTGCCGGACATGGACACCGGCAACCCCCGTGACCCAAAATGGAAGAAGTGGGTAAATGATAATGGATGGATGGATGGGTACAAATACCAACAAAGATCTAAAACAAGTCAGGTGCAGGCAGAAACATTAAAGTGTTTATTGTAGTGCAGGGTTAATTTTATTGTCTTCCGTGTAGAAAGGGGGATGATTTGAAAAGTTTGATAGCCACAGAGAGGAAGGACTTCCTGTGGCATTCTGTGGAGCACCTCGGTGGTCTCAGTCTATGACTGAAGTTGACGTGTTAACAGTCCAGTATGGCATAGAGGGGGTGTGACATGTTCAGGATTTTGAACAGTCTCCTCAGCATCCTTTGCTCAGACACCTCTGTCAGAGATTGCAGGTCCACTCCCAGAACTGAGCCAGCTCTCTTGATGAGTCTATCAAGTCTGTTGGCATCAACATTCTTCACCCTGCTGCTTCAGCACACCAGAGCGTAGAAGACATTGGAGACCACCGAGTGGTAAAACATCTGCAGCATGGTCCTGCAGTTAAAGGACCCGAGTCTCTTCAGAAGAAAAAGGTTACTCTGCCTTTCTAGTAGAGGGTGTCGGTGTTAGCTGTCCAGTTCGTTCTAGGTGGACTCGCAGGTACTTGTAGCAGTCCACAGTGTCCAGCTTAGAACCCTTGATGTTGATGGAATTGGGCGGGGGGGGGGGGGGGGGGGGGGGGGGGGGGGGGGGGCTGATCTTCCTGTAGTCCACCTGTGGCTCTATGATGTATGACTCATCACTGCCATGACACTGAACAGCATACACAATATTACTCTTTGTGCTGGGGGACTAGATCTTTGGGATGGACCAGTCTTTGCCCTAATGTTTTTTGCGGATTGAAAGCCACTGGGACGTTATGTTTAGAAACAAGACGTACAAAGATCATGTACATCATTTGTATGTACAGAACATACAAAGATCCATTTGGCACTCAGTAAATTTATCTTTCGTTTCAAAACTAGAACATCTGGGCAAGTTCTTGTTTTTCTTGCTTAACTTTAGAGTGGTACCATCTGTGTTCAGAGTCAGATGTAGAAATACTGAAGGTGGTATCCCAATGAGCTGCCACTGCTGGAGACAAGCATCTCAAACTGAACACAAGTACCTTTGAGTCTTGTTCACCTGTGATAGTAAGACGGTAGGATGGAGGGTGAGATGGATCGACATGATGGGGCTTCATGTACAATAATTAGGGCATTGCTCCAGTCTTTTAGTGAAGAAGGAGCAGAGCTTAAAGGCAAATCTCTTGATTTACATTCTAACACTCACTTATGATCCTGAGACATGGATAATAGCTAAAATAATCAAATCTCAAGTTCAAGAATCTGAAACGAGTTTTCTATGTAGGGTGGAGGGGGCTCAGCCTTATACAGGTCCTTCTCAAAAATTAGCATATTGTGATAAAGGTCATTATTTTCCATAATGTAATGATAAAAATTAACCTTTCATAAATTTCAGATTCATTGCACACCAACAGAAATATTTCAGGTCTTTTAATCGTTTTAATACTGATGATTATGGCATACAGCTCATGAAAACCCAAAATGCCTGTCCCAAAAAATTAGCATATCATGAAAAGGTTCTCTAAACAAGCTATTAACCTAACCATCTGAATCAACGACGTAACTCTAAACACCTGCAAAAGATTCCTGAGGCTTTTAAAAGCTCCCAGCCTTGTTCTTTACTCAAAACTGCAATCATGGGTAAGACTGCCGACCTGACTGCTGTCCAGAAGGCCATCATTGACACCCTCAAGCAAGAGGGTAAGACACAGAAAGAAATTGCTGAACAAATAGGCTGTTCCCAGAGTGCTATATCAAGGCACCTCAGTGGGAAGTCTGTGGGAAGGGAAAAGTGTGGCAGAAAACGCTGTACAACGAGAAGAGGTGACCGGACCCTGAGGAGGATTGTGGAGAAGGGCCGATTCCAGACCTTGGGGGACCTGCGGAAGCTGTGGACTGAGTCTGGAATAGAAACATCCAGAGCCACCGTGCACAGGCGTGTGCAGGAAATGGGCTACAGGTGCCGCATTCCCCAGGTCAAGCCACTTTTGAACCAGAAACAGCAGCAGAAGCTCCTGACCTGGGCTACAGAGAAGCAGCACTGGACTGTTGCTCAGTGGTCTTAAGTACTTTTTTCGGATGAAAGCAAATTTTGCATGTCATTCGGAAATCAAGGTGCCAAAGTCTGGAGGAAGACTGGGGAGAAGGAAATGCCAAAATGCCAGAAGTCCAGTGTGAAGCACCCACAGTCAGTGATGGTCTGGGGAGCCATGTCAGCTGCTAGTGTTGGTCCAGTGTTTTATCAAGGGCAGGGTCAATGCAGCTAGCTTTCAGGAGATTTTGGAGCACTTCATGCTTCCATCTGCTGAAAAGCTTTATGGAGATGAAGATTTCATTTTTCAGCGTGACCTGGCACCTGCTCACAGTGCCAAAACCACTGGTAAGTGGTTTACTGACCATGGTATTACTGTGCTCAATTGGCCTGCCAAGTCTCCTGACCGGAACCCCACAGAGAACCTGTGAGATATTGTGAAGAGACAGTTGAGAGATGCAAGACCCAACACTCTGGATGAGCGTAAGGCCGCTATCGAAGCGTCCTGGGCCTCCATAACACAGCAGTGCCACAGGCTGATTGCCTCCATGCCACGCCGCATTGAAGCAGTCATTCATGCAAAAGGATTCCTGACCAAGTATTGAGTGCATAACTGAACATGATTATTTGAAGGTTGGCGTTTTTTGTATTAAAAACACTTGTCTTTCATTGGTGGGATGAAATATGCTAATTTTTTGGGACAGGCATTTTGGGTTTTCATGAGCTGTATGCCATAATCATCAGTATTAAAACAATTAAAGACCTGAAATATTTCAGTTGGTGTGTAATGAATCTGAAATATATGAAAGTTTCATTTTTATCATTACATTATGGAACATAATGACCTTTATCACAATATGCTAATTTTTTGAGAAGGACCTGTACATACATACACGTTACACATACATACACGTACGTTACACATGCACGCATACACGTACGTTACACATGCACACACATACATATATACACATGCACATATATACACACGCACACGCACATATATACACACACACACATGCACATATATACACACGCACACGCACATATATACACACACACACACGCACATATATACACACACACGCACATATACACACACACACACACATATACACGCACATACATATACATGCACACGCACATACATATACACGCACACGTACATACATATACACACACGTACATATACACGCACACATACACGCACACTTACATATATACGCACACGCACACTTACATATACACGCACACACATACATACATACATACACGCATACATACATACATACTGTCAAATAAGTACGGAGCTCAGACTAATCTTATGGGAAAGAACAAGTCAGAACATGTTATGTGTTAGGAGATCAACACAAAATAACACGATAAGTCATGGTTTGAAGGCCTCAATCCCTTGAAAGGCTGGGCCCATGTGTAAACACAGCATGAGCACGCACACATGCAAGCTCACACACACACACACACACACACACACAGGCCCGTCTGAGGCCTCGCTCACACACTTGCACAGACATAACACACAGGCTCACTGAGGTACGCACACACGAGGGAGAAAAGCAGAGCAAAAAGAATGTTCTTTTCAAATAAAGTACCAGTTTCAGATGAATGAGAAATATGTGGTTATAATAAAATCAATAAACAAAG